AAAGTGTAGTGTTTGAGGCGCGTGGCTGCGAAAGTGCTGCCGGTGTTGGCGGTTGGAACCAAAGTGAAGCACTAATTGCCGCGCATTCTGGGATAAGTGGCGGCTGGGCTCGGCTCGGCACGGCCCGGTCAATCGGAGCATCCCCGTCGTGATCACCGCGGTTCGGCCGTCCGGCCGAGCGGAACAAAAACGAAACCGGTCGCGCGGTCGACCCGAAGGAGGAGCACACACACACACACACACACACACACACACACACACACACACTCCGGCGCCGGCGCCGTAAACATATGAAAGTTGAGGTCGTTCTTCTTCGTCTTGGCCGATCCTGGCCTGGCCAGGGCAGCCCAGGTTTGAATGGCGGCCGGAAAAATGAAGCGCCCAGGAAGCGGACCGGCGGGAAGTGGGAGAGAAATGCCCTGGGAAAGGCGTCATTTTGCATAAAGAAAACGAATTACTAGGGGTACGCGCCGTTTAGTGGGCGCGTAGTGTGGCTGAGCGATGCGAATTTGTGCACTTCGGACTTTGCTTAAGAAATGTGCAGCTTGTGGGCTCATATTGAGTGAAATGTAGGTCTGGGGTATAAATGGAAGTGATTTTCGTTATCAGCACACAAAAAACTGTTGGGATCAACGTCAAACTCGATTCCAAAATTTTGGTCCAAAATTGGTCAAAATTCGGTAATGCGTGAGTTTGGGAAAAATTTGGAAGTCATTTTTGAGTTCAGCGCACCAAAAACTGCAGGAAACAATATAAAACTCGATTTGAAAATTTTGGTCCAAAATGACCTGATTTGGGATGAAAATATAAGTCTGGAGTCGAAATAGAGGTGATTTTCGTTATCAGCACACAAAAAACTGTTGGGATCAACATCAAAATCAATACAAAAATTTTGGTCAAAATTTGGTCAAAATTTGGTAAAGCGTGAGTCTGGGAAGAGTTTGGAAGTCATTTTTGAGCTCAGCGCACCAAAAACTGCAGGAAACAATAAAAAACTTGATTTGAAAATTTTGGTCCGAAATGACCTGATTTGGGATGAAAATATAAGTCTGGAGTCGAAATAGAGGTGATTTTCGTTATCAGCACACAAAAAACTGTTGGGATCAACATCAAAATCAATTCAAAAATTTTGGTCCAAATTTGGTCAAAATTGGGTAAAGCGGAGAGTCTGGGAAAAATTTGGAAGTTATTTTTGAGTTCAGCTCATTAAACACTGCAGGAAACAATATAAAACTCGACCTGAAAATTTTGGTCCGAAATGACCTAATTTGAGATGAAAATATAAGTCTGGAGTAGAGATGGAAGTGGTCTTCATAATCAGCACTTCAAAAACTCCAAGAATCAATATGAGATTCGATTGAAAAACATTGATATCAAATTGATCAATAATGGGTAAAGAATGGGTCTGGGTTGGTCTTCATGGATCACTCTTTGTCGTCACCAATACCCTGATGCCACACTAATGAGATTCCTTCAGTCGAGTAACATTCCATTGCCACCATTGAATCGCTTACTTAGCTACTCGTCTGATTGACTCACTATTCGATACATCTTTTTCTTCAAACTACTGAATTTACAAATTTATTAGTTATATTTGAGAAGCCTTTTGTCATTCTTTCATTTTAAACCAGTGAATTAGACAATATAGACTGGAATATGTAATCATAGTTTATATTAAGTGACTCAGTTTAGGGCAGGCTGATCTGAAGCATTCGACGGAGAACAAGTTTTGTCAAACTCAGTGAATCGTCTCATAAAGTCAAATGCAGACGCCACTTGTTGCTCAATACGCCAACATAATTTACCTTATTCATGCCTCGTGATATTTTATCTTGAGGGTAAAAGAATACAGTATAGTATTAACATTGGGCTTGCATTCAGAGAGCCAGCTTTTAAACCATTACCAATACTTAGTTTCAGTTGTCGGACACAAGCTTTGGTGAAGTGAAAGGAATCGTGTCATTAAATCCAATTACCAAGTCAATCACAGCTCAAAACCTAAATCGTCTCATTAAACCCAATATCAGTTCAAAATCTGTTAGCACTAAATATATGGATTATTAATTGCACTAATTACATCTAATTATGGATTCTTTTGATCAATAGATTTTAGTACTAGAATATTAATGTTATCTTGCAGCATTGCAATAGAATGTTATTTCCCGAGACAAACCAAGACAATTAACATGTCTTCTAATTTCAACAGAAGTTATTCATGCATTTACCTGATCAGATTTTCTATGAAATTTAAAAATAAGGGCAGTATCAGAGAGAATAAAATCAGTAGATGCACACAAAGGCAAACATTCTATTTACAATCCACAACTACACTCACAGTGCACTGACCTGAAGGAAGATTCCCCTGTGACGGGGGAGGGGGGAGAGGGGAACGAAACACGCAAACCATTCTCACATTCAGTTTTCGTATTTTCCTCTGTTGACACTCCGGAAGGGTTTCAATCATTCTAGAATGTTAAAAAACTATCTCAGAACCTATTTGAGAACCCCTTTGCTCTTTAGTTTGTTTATTTGCATAAGTGCCGTCCCGTCTTGCAGACGGCTTGCAAGCGCGGCAGCCGGTATGAGAAATTGGTCAGCCAGACACTGCTGCCAACCTAACCACGCTAATTACCTAGTTCAAAACGATGTTTTGAATATTTCAAACGATGATAATTGTTAATCTGAGATAAACTCCCCCTGTAGGATGTTTAGGAGACACCAGGTGTGAAATTTGGATACTATTCGTTCAGTAGTTGCTGAGAAACGTGAGTGATTACATACAGACGGACAGACAGACTCACGACCAGTCACTTTTTGGAGCGCCCAAACACGGCAAGGGCTTCGCTATCGCTCAGCCAAAAATCGTGTATTGAGTGGGTTTTGAGAGAGGAAAGCTGGACTGTTCTTATGTTGTCAGGTTTTGAAAAGCCATCAGCGTGTGTAGGAGAGAAATGCTTTATGGCAGAAAAATGATTTTTGGCGGAGAAATGCTCATTGGCCGAAAAAATGCTCTCTTGGTCAGGGGCGCTCTTTGAGGCGTCGCCGCACCTCGGCGTCAAAGCCATGTGCAGTGCGGGTTGCTTTCCATCGCGTGCTGGGTGTTTGGGCGTGCGGTGCGCGGCGGGGCGCGGCGGGCACGACCATTGGGACGCAGTGCGAAGTGCAGCCTGTGCAGCCCGTGCAGCCCAGGCGGAGCGAGGCGGGGAAAGCGCAGCACCGCGCTGCAGGCTGCGCCGTATCACGCTCTCGGGGCACCTGCCTGCACTTGCCGAATGGACACCCTAAGGCAGCCGAATGGACACCCTAAGGCAGCCGAATGGACACCCTAAGGCAGCGGTTCCCAACCTTTTTCGGATTTGTAGCCAAAAATTTACGCGACCCCCAGGAAAAATTTCGCGACCCCACGCGACCCCTCCTTTAGCATGCCTTTGATACGGAAAGCGATTATCTGCCTTAGTTTGGGAGCAGTGTTGCCGTAAAGTTGATCAAAACGATCACAAATGTCTGTGAAAAGTCGTGTCTTGGGCCGACTTTAAGGTTACTGTAAAGTGAAAAAATGTGAAATATCATTTTTCTAAATAATTGTGGCATCAAGTTTGTATTTAGGTTTCAGGTTGCTTACTATAAGATGAACTTAAACCCAAAGTTGAGGCACTCAACTCCCATTATTTTCTGAGTTATTGAAGTTTACGTAACAAATTTAGTCGTTTACTAAAAATTCTCCTTGCGATGAACCAAAAGTTGTCGAGACTTGATTTTTGTTTTACAAGTTCTTTATTGATTTGCCTATCTCGTAGCAAAGCCGGATTTCCAAAATTCCAACATGAAACAGGAATTCTTCTCAAAAAACACAAAAAAACACCAAAAAATACCAAAATTTTACCAAATTTAAGTAAAAAATTCAAAACGCATTTTCCAAACAGAAATTGCAGCTTATCTATGCATATATTGTCAAATCCGGCTTTGCTAGTCTGTTTGCATGTCCATTGGGCCTTAAAATAAAAAATCACACCTCCGTAAACTTTTTGGTTCATCGCAAGGAGAATTTTTAGTAAACGACTAAAATAACACTAAAACCCTCATAACTTTGGAACTAATGGGAGTTAGGAGTCCAGTCTGTGGCTGTAAAAGTTTTTCATAGTAAGCAACTAAATCACCAAAAACCAAAGCACTGCCACCTATACTTTAGAAGATAGTTTTTTCACCTTACAGTAACCTTAAGCATCCACTGCATCTGATCCGAGGCGGTATTTCGTCCTCCCTCAACGGGCAATTGGTCTTTGGACCTTCCTTTAGCATGCCTTTGTTACGGAGTGCGATTATCTGCCTTAGTTTGGGAGCAGTATTGCCGCAAAGTTGATCAAAACACGATTTTTCAGACATTTGTGACCGTTTGGATCAACTTTGCGGCAATACTGCTCCCAAACTAAGGCAGATAATCGCACTCCGTAACAAAGGCATGCTAAAGGAAGGGTCAAAGACCAATTGCCCGTTGAGGGAGGACGAAATACCGCCTCGGATCAGACGCAGTGGATGCTTAAAGTCGGCCCGAAACACGATTTTTCACAGACATTTGTGACCACCGCGGGAAACCACCTTCTAAAATGCCGCGTCGCCCGCTTCGCCCGTGGGGCCCTGTCTGGCCATGTCGCTGCACCGCGCTGTGAGCAGGAAGCTGCGGTGCATGGTGCGGTGCAGGGTGCGGCGCACGGTGTGGTGCATGGCGCGCGGTCTCATCAGGAAGACACGCTGGCCGGCGCCTTGCCGCCTTTCCGTGGCCACATTGCGTAAAGCGACGACGGCTGGCTGGCGGTTCACGGTGCTTTACTAGGTGTTCCTCGAGTCGTTTCGTCGCTCTCTCTCTCTCGCACCGCACCGCCCTGCGGGACACCCCTGAGTGCGAGAGAGACGGAGCGACCCTTCGGAATCAGGCTGCCGCGCGCGGTGCTTTACGAGGTGCTCGACGAGGTGCTCTAAGTGGCGGTCTGGATGTGTTGCAGCTGGGCGGTGTCCACCGTGATGACGAGGCAGAACACGGTGGTGACGGCGGACGGGTCCGGAACGACGCAGGCCCTCATCCCGCTGTGGGACATGTGCAACCACACGGACGGCAAGGTAAGTCAACGTCAACATTCTGCACTCTCCTTTTCCGCACCGGGACCTTTCGGCCATTCTGCCATTTTGGTGGAGTCAATGCCCTGAATGACGTGCTGCTTCTTCCTCGCAGCTGTCCACGGACTTCAACGTGTCGCTGGACCGCTCCGAGTGCGTGGCGTGGCGGCCCGTGGCCAAGGGCAAGCAGGTCTTCATCTTCTACGGCGACCGGCCCAACTGCGAGCTGCTGATCCACAACGGCTTCGTGCACCCGGGCTCGGCGTGCGACGCGGTGCGCCTGCGCCTCGGCGTGGCCAAGGCGGACCCCCTGCACGCCGAGAAGGCCGCGCTGCTGCACCGCCTCCGCCTGCCCGCCGCCGGGGACTGGGAGGTGGTGGCCGGGCCCCAGCCCGTGCTGCCCAGCCTCAAGGCCTTCGTCAGGGTCTTCAGCATGGACAAGGGTGCGTACCGCTCGGACCTCCACTTCAACGCCAAGGCCTTCTTGGACCCGTTCTCACTTTTGTTCTCCTCTCGTGTGCAGCCCAGCTGGACCACTGGACGGCCAGCCCCAGCGTCGAGTCCCTGCAGGAGGACACCTGCGCCCTGGACAAGGCCCTGGAGAAGCGCGCCTGGACGTTCCTGGCCATGCGGATCAAGCTGCTGCTGGCCGCCTACCCGACCAGCAAGGAGGTGGGTCCCCGCGGAGCGCGGTACGCGCGGTGCGCCCGGCGGGCAGGCAACCCATCGGCCACGAGCGCGCGCGTTCTGCCTACCGCACAGGCGCTGGGAGCGCCGCTTTCGCGTCTCAACGCGACTGTCCTTTGATTTCTCCCCTATGGACCCCTCGAAACGATAACATTCTCCTCGTCGGCTTTCAGGACGACGAGGCCCTGCTCGGCGACGCGGGCGACGCCGTCGGCAAGATGAGCCCCTGCACGCGCCTGGCGGTGTCGCTGCGCCTGGAGGAGAAGCGACTGCTAGTGAACGCCCTCGCCTTCTGCGACGAGCGCCTCGCTCGCCTGGAGGCGTGAACCTTCGCGCCTCACCGCCCTCCGCGCTCCGCCCTCGCTTTCGTGTTTCGACCGTGATGTTTCACGGGCCGAATAACTTAACTCGCACTGATGAGTCGACGTGAAGTAAATTCCACTATTTTTCTGGTGTAAATCGATGAAGTAAGGATTGAAGGGACCCCAAGAGGACTGTCGTGTAACGCAAATTATATATTTCGGATGCTTCTGACTTAATGTTTGTTCGTTTGTTTGTTTTTATTTTCAAATAAATGTTTTTTGTGTTAAATATTCACTTTCATTTCTTGCAATCCCTCCACATCTTTTCCACTGCAAGACCAGGAGAAATGGAAGCTTAGGGCTTTGAACTCCAACGCCCGACTTCGGGGTCAACCACTGCAAAAGCGGGAACGCTGACAGGAAAGGACGTCTATCGCGCCGGGATGTGGGCGACTCCACCGACACTGGATGGAGATGAATGCCGAACCGGGCCGCCCAGCCCAGCCCGCCTGGCGCGTGGGCGTGGGGCCGCGGGGCCGCGGGGCTGGCGCTTTGAACACCGCCCCCGCGACCCTTTATGAATGGAGAGAGTGGCGTGGCGGAGCGTGGCGCGGTGGCGCGGCGGAGTGGGCACCGCCCTGCTTCGCGCGTCCGCCGCTAGAGGCGCTGGCTGCGCTGGCGGCGCTGGAGGCGTCGCGGGGTCCAGTTGTGCAGGCGACCCCGCCCCGCCCCGCCCCGCCCCGCCACGCCACGCCACACCCCCTACTGGCCTGGCTAGGCGTAGCCTGGCGGCCTGGCGGCCTGGCGGGGCTGCGTCGATACTCGACCGCCAAAATACGCGTGCTCCCCCACCCCCCGCCCCCTCGGCTCCGCGTCCACCGCCGCCTCCACCCCCTGCGCCTCGGCGGTGCCCCGGCGGTGCCCCGGAGGGGGCGCGGCTCTGGCGGCGCCGAGCAGGGAGCAGGGCGGCCAGTAGGCGTCGAGCCCTGCCGCGCAGCGTCCGTCCGCCGAGCAGCGCCGCGACCCGCAACGCGCCGAACGCCGCACCGCTGGGCTTGAGCGTGCCGAGTGCTCCGCCGGGCGGCAGCGCCCAGGGCAGCGCCCAGGGCAGCGCCCTGCGCCAGCGGAACCCTTCGCGCGCGAGTGTGTGCGTGAGTGCGTGTGTGTGCGGGGCGTGCATGTGGCAGGCACGAGGGCGGCAGTGGGCCCCGGCCCGGGCCCACGCGCTCTGAACGCGCAAGCCGAGGGGACTGGCCGGTGCTAATCCAGGCTTAATTACTGCAGAGTCGTCGACGACAACCACGAGGTGAGTGAGACGCGCGGCCGGGGGTTGTCGAGAACCACTTGCACCTCGCCGTCAACGAGGCGTTCACGTCGGCCGGCGGTCGGCCAAAGTGGGCGGCCGCCGCCCCCCGGCGGGCTTCGAACCCGCGGTCCCCGGAAGGAATTCTAGTTGCCCGAAGCAGACCGGAAGCCCCGCCGTCCGCCGCGACGATCTGGCGGCCGGGCCTCAGCCGAGCGACCGGGACTGGCTTGTTGCCGGCGGCACAGGCCCAGGGTTCACCGCCCCGGCCTCAGCGGCGGAGGGAAAAACAGAAAATGATTTATGCAGCGCGAGTACTTAGGCGCCAAAAACCGCGGGGGGAAAACGGCGCCCGCAAGCCCGGAGCGGCCAACACCCTCCTCGGCCGCATTCTTGTTTCCTCCACTCCCTTTTCTTTCCCGCTTTTTGTGTTGGTTTTTCGGCTTCCATCCGCGCCGAAGCTAAAAGCGTGCGGCGGCGTGACCACGCGATTCGCGGACTCGGCGCCGCGGTCCGCCGCCTCCACGGCACGGCAGGCGGTGGCCGTGGTGGCCATGCGAGGCCCGCGGCAAGGAGGGGCCGAGCCTCGGAGCCACAGGCTGCTCGGCGGCGAGGCCCCGCCGTGGTGCGCGGCCACCCTCAACGACGTGGGCGCGCTAAGACGGGGCGGACCGGATTACGCACGCCAAGTCCGGCGTCAGACTCCAGGAGTGGGAAGGGAGGGGGGGTGGAAAGGAAGCAATGAATACGTCATAGGCCCAGGCCTCGGCGGCCGGGAGGGCCGGGCAGGCTCCACGTTTGAATGCAAATGGAATTCATCCCCGGCTGCTGGGAGTGCCATCGCCATCTCGGGCGGCACCATCATGGCCAGCACCGCGGCCAGCACCGCCGGCAGCGCCGGCAGCGCCGCCAGTGCGCAGACAGGCGAAAGAAACAAAGAAAAGAACACGGACTCGCAAATCCCCCGAGGCTGGTATTTGAACCCGCGTCAGTCAAAAGAGATAAAAACCGCGGCGGGGAGAAGGGGAGATCACGCGGTAGCGCGGTACGCTGGAAAAGTTGACGCGCTGGAGGAAGGTGTGCGGGCAGAGCCGCGAAGCGCGTGCCGCGCCGCGGGGGAAAAGAAAAACAGGAACAAGGGGGCTCCCCCGGGAACGGGCGGGGATTACGGGGAGCGGCAGGGCATTATTTCGGCCCCCGGGGACGCGCGGGGCGCGGCGCTGGCGTGGCGTGCTGCACTCCACTCGCTGCAGCGCTGCAGCGCGGCTACAGGGCGAACCGCTAAATGATGCAGTGCCGGAGGCGTGATTGGAAGCCACTTGGACTGCGAGAAAGGACGCAGCATCGCGCCAGCCGGTCCCCGCACACCGCTTCCGTGTCGGAAGGGTTGCCCACCGCAGCCCGACTCGACAAAGTGCCAGACCCAGGAGTTGCATTCACGGCCCGACTCAAAAACAAAGTCTGGTCCTCGGGCAACGACAGTAGGCAACGCTAGCATCGGGGGGATGGTGGCAACCCTGTACTGCACTGGCTCCACCGTGCCCAGCGCAAAGGCCGCCGCCTTCGCCGCGTTCTGGGCGCCACTCTCGCCTGTCCGCTGTTTCTGCCTGTTTCTGCCGCGCTTTCCGGGGAACCATCGCAAACGCGCGGAAACAAAGTTGCGCGAGGCAACGCCATGGCGCCATGGCCGGGGCGAGCAAGGGGCAAGGCGAGGCGAAGCGCGCCGAGCGGCCCGGTCGCGGCGGGACCAAGACCAACCAAGACGAGGCGAAGGCGAAGGGAGGCTCCCCCTCGCCGCACTCTCTTCCGCGCTCCTGGGCAACTTCAAGGAGGGGAGGGCCGAGGCCGGCCGAGGCAGGGGCGGCACAGCGTAAATGGGCGAATGGCCACGTGCTCGAGCGCGGCGTGCGGGTTGTGGGGCGAGGACCCCATGTGGAGTCCTCCCGCACGCCGCAGGCCGCACGCACGTCGGATGGGGGTCAGTGAATTTGACCTGCAATTGCCCACCGGCTGCGCCGAGGGCTGCGCGCGGCCCAGGCCAGCCCGGTCCAGTCCAGGCCCTGGCGGTGGAGGGGCCGGGCACCCGGACGGGGACGCTGGCTGCCGCGGAAAAGCAGGGTTGACGTTAGTGACGCTGGCTCGTCGCACTGGCTGCAGCGGACAGGGTGGGGACTCGCTGACCTGATTCCAGCAGGCACCTCCCTTGGCCACTGGCGGAGACAGGGCAGTGTCTAATCGGTGTATCGATACGGTGCCGCACCTTTCGCCTGGTTACACAGCAGCTTGCCGGCGGATCGCCTCGCTTATCCATCGGGCGCGTTTCGCAACGTGGAGTTGGACGCCGACGGGGACTGGAAGAAGGAGGGGAAGGGGCACTCGCCTGCAGCAGGGACCGTCGGAATGGCTCGGCGGCAGTGGGGCGGCAGTAGGGCGGCAGTAGGGCACGGTGTTAAGCAGGGCGGTGTATTTGCGCGGCACGTTGGCGTGCGCTGCCGCTGTAATGCCCAGGGCCTCGGCTCCGTCCTCGTCCTCCGTCGCGCGCATAACTTCTTATCGCCGCCAATAAGGGAGGCTGTCACCGCCCCGCCCCGCCCCGCCGTCTCCGTCCACGGTACTAAGCTCGCCGACAGAGATACCCCCTTCCTCCCGCCCTGGCGTTGTTGCTGTCCTCTGCCCCCCGCCTTCGAGTTCTCGAGGGGATTGGGGGGGGGGGGGTAGAGTCTCGCTTTGACAGCTCTCCTCTCTTCCGTGGTGGAGCGAAAAATGCGCGCGAAATGGAGAAAGTCGAGCGTGGCGATGACGGCGCACGTGTGTGGGCGAGAGAGAGAGAGAGGGGGGGGGGCGTGTGAGCTCGCTGGCATGCCTGTCAGCGCGTGATTGGGCGGGGCACGGCGGCAGTCAGCCTCCCTTCCGTCGGCGGGAAAGCGCGTCGGAAGGGAACGCCAGGAAGTAAAAGCAGCGCCGCTGGAAAACTCGAGGGGGAAAATTGGACGGAGGGTGGAGGGAGAGGAGCTGGGGGGGGGGGGGGCGGTTTCTCATGTGTGAGCCGTTGCTGGTGAGATGGGCCGATGGGCCGGACGGAGGCCGCGGTGGGTGGCGGTGGAGGAGGGCGTGGTGGTGGAGGCGAGGCGAGGCGCTCTCAGACCCTGTTTACGGCCTCACTGCCGCGCACGGTCTCACGGCCGCGTCGTACGACGGTCCGGTCCGGTCGGTACAACGGAACGGCGAACAGGGTCAGACTCCCAACGCGCCCCCTGCAACCTCAACCTCGGCAACAGGGCTTTCGGCTGCCGGGCGAAGCGGCAGGCCAGCTGCCTGTCTGGCCAAGCCTTCCCAGCGAGCCTCGCTGGCGAAAGTAAGACGATCGGGGTGCACGTTTATGGACAAACTTGTGATCGGGGGTATTTCACCGAAAGGCTTCCCTGAGCGGGGCGAGTCTGCTGCTGTTACTCCCGGCAAGCTTGTCCATGAGCCCCCTGCCGGTGCTTGTCCCGGAGTGCACTCCAGCAGTAACCTGAGCTGCAGCATCATTAGCAGGGAGCTCGGAGGCCAGCGTCCAGCGAGGCGCCGAAAGCACGGGCTGGGGTGGAGGAGAGGAAGAAATAAAATCAACGCGATAAAGAAAATTTCTGCGAAAGAGGGCACCCCGGCGAACCGGCCCTCTTCCCCGCTGGCTTGGTGAGCCAGTGGTTATTGCGTCCGGTTTGATCTGCACCAGAAAAAAGACAGGCGGAACACCGCTTTCAGGATTGGATGCGGCCAAGATAATGCACACACACACACATGCAAAGACACACAGACACACCGCCGGAGCCACAACGTTCACTGCACTCCGGAACCGGTAACTGTTTGAGAGGCGCCGGCTTCCGGGCTGGCCCGGCCTACGGCTTGGGCCTAGGGGTCGACTCTACCCCGGGGCGCGGCCGTAAGCGGGGACGGCTGCCTTGCCGGGGACGCACGAAGCACCGCGGTCCCCGCCGAGGTCCCCGCAGTCCCGAGAAACGATGCCTCGCGACGCCAAATCGATTCACGCGCCGCTGGCAGCGTCGAGGCGGAGATGAGGCCGTGGGGAACAAGAACAAGGGGAGTGGTGCAGCTCGTTCCATCCGGCGGCATGCCGCGGCGTGCGCGCACCCGGCGCACTGCACAGTGTACTCGCGGCCGGAGGTCCCTCCTTAATCCGCTGTTTAAGCTCGGGCACGATAGGCACACACGCGCTCTCATTATCATGCATTCCAGAGCAGCGTTCGAAGGCTTTTGCTCAGCACTACTCTCCAAAAAAAAGCGATGATCGAAGCGACTGGCTTTCTCTATACTTTCACACACATCCTTTGTCTCTACTCTAGCTCAGATGGACACCCCAAGTTATTCTTCTGTACCTTAATTAAAATCGAGTTCTTGAGAGTGTACTGGACAAGTTCCCGAATGTCGGCGCGGCTAGCTAATATCGGTCTCCAGTCCGAAGTCTCCTGACTGCAAACTCCAGACCGGTGGACTGGCCATTATTCCAAGTTGGCCGAGTGACGAGTGTGCTTCGCGCTCGGCATCTGTGGCCCCGAAGCCCGAAGCCCGAAGTCGAGCCGCCCCGCGCCTCCCCGCGCAGCCCGGTGCCAACTCGCTTTCCGGGGCCCTGGCGTTTCCGCCCGTGATTGCCCCCCCCCCCCTCTTTCGGGCCGGAGCCGAGCCGCGCCACAATCGGAAGGCGGTGCCCCGGACCCGCGCGGACCCGGAATCCCCGGAGCCGAGCTTAAATATTAATTTGCACAGATGTGAGTAAGGTTTACCTTGCGCGGCCTGGCGACCTGGCGACGCGGCCCCCACCGCGTCCGTACACTGTGCCGCCGTACCGCTGCTCCTTTGGCGCGGCAAACGCGCGCTTTCCGCAAGCTTTGCCACGGCCCCGCCGAGGAGCGAGTTCAAATACCGGCTGCGGTGGCGGAAGAGGGAAAAAGTGGCGCACCCTTTGTAGCAGTCGTGCGCTCCCGCCGCCGCGACCCACCCCC